TCTTCTAACCTCGTGTCGCCTCGTATACTCTCGCTGGATTTCCTCGGGGTCATCGCGGTCGGCATCAGGACACAAATTGTGCCAAATCGATGGTTCGTCGACAAAGTCTCTTATAGCTTGTTCGATGTCGAAATCCTTCCTTTCCTGTGGATCTTCTCTGTCCTCCGCATCATCAGGTGTCGAAATCGGAGGTCCTAAGGCCATTTCCAACTCCATTGATGATGAAATTTGTTGATTTTGAGATAAGAGAATTTTTAGGGTTCGTCGTGTTTTTGATTTTGGAATTTTCAGATTGGTTTTTTTAACAGAGAGAAGAAGATCGGGTTTCGGGTTGATTTCGGGTTAAAAATCAGATTCAGTTTTCAAATCGGGTCAATTGCGGTTTACTATGTCGTAATCCGGTCATTAACGGTTAACTAACGATTTTATTTTCTTAAACAGATACTTGGTCTACATAAAACCGACTTTAAGCCAATATGGGGTGAAATGAGCGTTTAATGTTTATTTTGTGGTGAAACAAACGTTTAATGTTTATTCTGGGATGAAATAATAGTGTAAAGTTCATACTGGGGGAAAATACTACGCGATTAATTATCCGGGTGTTTCTACGAAGATATGAAAGTTTCGGGGGTGAAATAGTACGTTTTTCCGAATATTTCGGGAATCAAGTTTTTTTCCATAACACAAATCTATACAAAAATTGGTGACACATTCCCTACAAGCATATGTAATTTCGAATTTTTACTATCGAAACAAGAAAAAGTGACAGTTAACATCCATAAATTTTTCCTCATTTCAAAGATTAATAATACAAAACACAATATAGAGTCTCACCAGGAGCACACAAATACAATATAACCTTCTTCCATATACAAGCATTACACACAAATACTAAAACCTTCGCAATGTTTCTTTCAAAAGAGTCTGAATGTTGTTGTCTGACTTAGTGCCGTTTGAGAGAGACGCCGGAGATGACGATAAGAATGGCTATAAAGGCGACAGAGGCAAAAGCAGAGACAACTGCTCCGCTCGTTTTCTGACAGAAATCTCCAAACTGTTGGCAGATCGCAAGCCAGTTTGTGTTCTGATTCCCGTTGTGTGCCAAATACACTATAGCCGCTGCCGCGGAAGCAGCCGCAGTGCTCAGAACCAGAGCCGCCTGTAGACATCAAAAAGAAAACAGAGTGCTCTGTTATAACGGAAGCAACCATTGATACATTTGAGTTATAAATGGAGTATCAAGAGATTGAAGAATTGAGGAAGAAAAGTACAGTGTCAAGAACTAGCAAGAGGAGTCTCGGAGCGACGGCTAGAGGACGAATAATCGTGACGACTGAGAAGGGAAGAGACAGGACGAGGTAACCTGCGACTATTGCAACGGCAATTACAAAGAACCTGAAAGAGAAAGAATCGAAAATTAGATAAGTTCGTTTTGGAAGGAACAC